ATTTGTTAAAAAAGTTTGAAATATCCAATAAATTTTGTTCCACTTCATGATTGTGTCCCACTTGTTGTTGATTCTTCACAAAAAATTACAGTTTTATATCTTTATGTTTGAAGCCTGAAATGTGGCAAAAGGTCGCAAAGTTCAAGGGGGCCGAATACTTTCGCAAGGCACTGTATGTTTACTAAGGGTCAGTAAACACCCAGACACCTATAGTGAAATTATTATATGTCTTGTATGTGTACTGAATAAACAGTAGAAGTGGAATAGTATGATCCCTACTGAATGCCTGTATCAAGCTTACACCCTGCTGTTACATGGAGTTCTCATAAGCAGTCAGACTGCAGATGTGTGGAAATGTTTGCGATCACACCCCATTCTACAACACAGAACTTACCACGACTGTTAAGTCTAAATGTATAAATGACACTGCCTTTCCAAAGATTTGCCTCATGCAACCCTATTGTGTGTATTGAGTGCACCCTTGCAACAAGTAAAATTGCGCTTTAGACTTACCGCAATAGCAGTAGGTCTTCTCCTTTTCACATTGTTTGTTTTTCATCTCCTACGAAGCAGTTATGCTAAGAAGCTACTAAAAATACAATCAATATTGGTGGGCACACACCAAAGCATTTTGTCATAAAGATCAGAAAGAGACTTGACGACCTGACCAAAGAAATACAGCAGATAAAAACGAGTTTGCAGTTTACCCAGCGAGATGTGGATGCGATTAAAGCAGCCGTGGGGGAGCAGGAAATACAAGCCAAAGAGACAAGGCATGACGTCTACAAAACTTGTGAGAGTCTAATAACTATAACGTATAAAACGGAGCAATTGGAAGTACAGTCCAAGCAAAAAAACCTGATCTTCAAGGGAATCAAGGAGGAAGCTGGACGGATGCGAAATGTAAGGTGAAAGAGATTTTAAAGGACAAACTGCAAATTCATCAAGAAATAGAGATGGAACGGGTTTACAGAGTTGGGAAACTTTCTGATCGTGGACCGAGGGCGGTGATGGTCAAGTTGATGAAAGAGAAAGATAAGGCAAACATTCTGCAGCAAGCAAAGAAGCTTAAGGGAACTAATATTTACATCAACGAAGATTACCCCGAGTTTGTGAGGAAGAGAAGAAGAGAGTTGATGCTGATGTTAAGAGCGGCTAGGGCAAGAGGAGAAATCGCGTTTCTGCGA